CCCAAGGATGCTCTTGTCCCCCCCCCCCCCCAAAAAAAGAGGCTTGACGTCGATTGCGCTAAACTGCAATCATGAAACGGGAATTCGAGAAAAGCTAACAACCCGGGAATTTTTTCTCGCAGTTTGAGTGACTTTCTCTCGAGTGCAAATACGGCGCCCACCTAGAGCGACAGAGTACGGGCACCCCATCTCAGCAATGCTGTACCGTATCTGGACAACTGTTTCAGTTACAAACAGAACGCCAGCATGGCTCGCTGAATAAGTAAGGCACATGTGGAAATGGTCAAAACATAAACTACTAGGGTACTGATGAGGCTATATTTACCCTTGCATATTTAGTTCTGTTTATCGCGCGAGCCCTCTAACCTGGACTCGACTCGTATTACTCTTGAACCTCTAGTTCTAATTGTTCATTATGTAAGCCTCCAACTGCGCTCGACTTCCGTTACTGCCAATGAAGCTGTTTCTTATTACCAGCGGTTTAGGCCCATCAAGAGCGCGAGCGGGAAGTGATCCGCACAAGATGATATCATCAACGATCAGTCGATACGCATGTCGAATAATCATTGATCGTGAGAACTATGACAAAGCGTTCCTCTACGCAGCAGGATTTGACTCTGTTAAAAACATTTTCCTAGGGGTAAGTCCTCAGTTTCCACTGTTACATCTGATTCTATTAATATGCTCATTCGATTATGACATCATGCTTGCTCTTATATTGATGCTGCAATTATAATTTTTGTAGGAGAAGGCAACAAAGTGGATGAAGAAAAATGGAGAAATGGACGGGTTAACTACAAACGGGATATTGATTTTACATCCGAATAGGAACACGGAGGTACCTATTTATTGACAATTGATTCACCAGATAAATTTCCGAGTAACAGCGGAGGTAAGGGTTCTCTATTGATGTGCCTAGTTTTATTTTTTCGTTTTGCCTCCTTCTGGGATACGCCAACAATATCGCAATATTATTTTTTTGTTTGAATATCAGTTATGGAAATTATTTGGAATTTCGAACCATTTTTCTTGCAAATATGATATCGATTTTTTTGTGCCACACCGATACCACCACCCTTTGTACTAGATACATAATAAACAGGGACGGTCTTGAGGACCACGCGACGTCGCGGCAATCTGCAAACCCCGCGGAATTGCAGTAAGGCGCACGTTCGCGATGAATTCACTGCGTTACTGAATTTGATGATAGCAGTCGTTTCAGTTCTCAGCCACTCTCTTCCCTCTCGTAGGACCTAGATTCTTATGACCGTTAGATTTTGTTTGATTAGCATAACTAGGCTTATTACATAGCAGTCATGGTACAGAAAAACCAGCACAGATTCTGTGCTGAAGTTAATTCGACTTGTTGAGTGATACCCTTCATCTGACACTAACAATACTTTCTGGACAGCATACCTTAAGGACTGTACTTATGGTCGTATTGCTAAGGTACTGACAGCCCTGTTGAAAAAAAAGCGCAAAGTGTCACAGTCGCAAGTCGCAGTCGTAAGAAAACCATCGCGAGTGCGCGGCGATCGTAACCCTGATGCACTGGCAAATATCCTGCATGACGGCGCGTGATCTTTCCATGACATGCCCTCATAAACATCCATCTGGAGCGTATTCAGTAGCGCGGGAAAGTTTCTGAACCAACTGCTTGTTTAGTTGTTTTGTTTTTGCATATTTTGATTATTTGTGATCTTTTTATTATTTCGAAAGTTGGTTTCCGAACTCTCCTTATTCAGTACAGAACGATCACATAGACCTGAGGATACCGAAAAGACACAGAGGAAAACTAGAAAAGAAACTCTCACGGCTTTTCTAGGCGAAGGTGCTCCTTACGCTCCAGAAAGTAGTGTAATTCACGAGTCAGCGCGCAAGGCTCCCTATAGACGAAGTTTCTGCGTAATTTCGGTAGTCTGGAGTTAAAGTCCTGAAGAAGTATTTATCTCTTCAACCTCAGTGGTATTAATTCTCTTAATAATCATTGCTTGCCAGGAGTTGTCGGATGAGGATGTGCCCCCGATGTATGTTTGGCGTGAGGTTTCCGTCGATGGTGACATTTACACTTTACGCGAGACACGCAGCAGCAACGCCAGAGGTGCATTGGTCCCCGAGGAGACCAATATGTTGCAGGTATTTTCTCTTTCACAATGATTTCAGCGTTTATTTGCTCGCCTCATAATACCCTTCTTGGGTTTTTCTTTTGGGAGCGATTGAGTTTCGACATTTCAAACGTGTTATCTGAACCGATTCTGCAAGATCATTATTTTATTGAAACGCTAATCAGCTTGTTTCTTACTTCCTCTCTATCTGGCCTTTTTCAGGACGGCTCCTTGATTGACCTTTGTGGCGCGACGCTCTTGTGGAGAACCGCAGATGGGTTGAGAAAGTCGCCTACCGCCCAAGAATTAGAGATGGCTTTGGACAGGCTGAATGCAGGAAAGCCCCAGTGCCCAGTGAATCTCAATACTTTAATTATCCCAAAGAAAAAGAGCACTAAAGGAGGCGGGAGCCGGCAGCCTTACGTGAGTCCATCTTTTCCCTACACCTACTGTGCCATTTTAGTCATTTGAAAGAACTGCTTTGGTGGTCCTGCAGAGGGAAGAAGTTCGTGATTAAATTGCAGGTCTATTTGCGATGTGGTCACGTGCAGGGTAAGCATGAATGGGGTCATCACGCGACGCCGACTGGACAGCAGTCCTACAAGTGTCCTATATGTCTGGCTGAAAGCGAACGAGTGATTCAGGTTTGTATAAAAATAATCTGCCTGACTAATAACATTGGCATTTTGCCAACACTTCTGTGCCAGGTAAATGAAGACTGAAGATCAACTAAAGTTGACGGATTCATTTCAGCTGACGATGGGAATGGAGTCGTCATTCCATTTGGACTCTGGCAATCTAGACCACGCTTTTAATCCTTGCGGACATGTAGCAAGCCTCAATACTGTGAGGTGGGTCTCTAAATCTTGCTGTTGATGCCTAAAATCTCTAGGGATGTAGATAAATATAAATACTGATACACAGCTGAGAGCTGTAGTGATTACCTACTGGTATGAACTCCTCCTTACTGTTTTCTTAGCGTTTCTTTTGGTATCTCCTTCTGTCCCGTTTCTGTCAGAATGAGGTAGTCTGGAGCTATAAGGAGACGTTCATTACGTACATGGCCCATAGGTCAAATACCGAATCGACTACTGTCAAGTTTTCAAATGTTCGGCAATGTGGTACCAGAGTGCCGTCTGTGAGGAGGAAAAACACAAACATTGCCCACTTTTGCAGCACTGCGAATCATTGTATAAGCTACATGTAATGAAAGCTACTACGATTTTGTATGGAAATAGAGTACGAGGCGCATCCCTGGAATGGACGATTAAAGCCGAATGTTTTCTTTTATCGACGTTCCTCCTTTTCCAGCTCCATTGTTTTGGCATCTGCAGCTATCATGCTGGCGTCAGGGTGGTGGAAGAAAGAGTTTGAGGAAGCGCTGGAGGGGTCGGTGCCGATGGTAGCGGATAAAATCCTTGTCCATATTGCAGAAGAAGAAGAAGCAGGAGTCAAGCGAGTGGTACTAATAGAAAGACCACTCCTTAATGAATTAGGTTGGAAGGAAAGTCCTGTTGTTTTTTGAAAAGCTTACAGTTTTTGATTCTCGATGCTCGTACATGACGTAACATGCTATGCTTGTAGGACACTCTGGGAGCTTTCCTGCAAGAGGCGTGTGAGGGCGCCTGCTCTTCCCTGGGTTTAATTACGATGTCAGTTTCACAGGAGCATCTTCGGGTCATCATCTTCTATCAGTGGCCCCGCGGCACTGGAGCCACGGCAGCTGTCCGTAACATCAACAGTGCATTGAGGGAGGACACCACTACCGTCAGGATCGTTCACTTTTAGTTCGCTCGCTTCGCGAAAAGAGACTCGATCCTCGAAGGCAAACCTTGGTTGGGACGGCCCCAAAGTATAAGACTCCACCATTCTCGAAGCAGACAAGGGGGATCCAGAGGCTACCACCCGCAGTCTTGCGACAAGACTCGGATGTACCTAACTGACAGTCGTCCACCGCCTGTAAGCCTTGACTACCAAGAAGTACTGGCTCGATGGATCACTCATACCTTGACCGATGGCACGCTGTGCACCCGGGTACCCCTTGGTCAGTCTCCCCTTCTCCGCCCTCGTCAGAAGGAGTTTCCGGGAGACTGCTTAGTGGGGATGAGAGATGGGTCCTCTATGATTTCAACCCACACAGTACCGTTTGTCTCTCTCAAGGAGAAGATCCATTCTAGCAGTCCAAACCGGGCATGTATTCCGAGAAGGTTCTCCTGTGCTGCTCCTGGACGCGAGGGGAATGCTGCAGAACGAGCTGCCTGTAAGAACACACGATCACCGCTACCATTTGTGTCGCTCAGCTCCTGAAACCGGTGGAAATTGTTGGAGAAAAATGACCGAGACTAGCTTCGGGTCACCTCGTTCGTAGTACACGAGACCCCATACCTGCTATGAAGACCTACCAAATAATTGAGGAGCAAGGCTGGGAGACCAGTCCCCGCTCATAATATTCTCCTGACGTAGTCCCCTACGACTGCTACCTGCTCCGCCTCTTTAACTGACTTACTCTACTCGCAGCCTTCTCAGTTCTGGGAGGAGGGGAATGCTTACCTCCATTGGGTGGAGCACTGTAGTGGCTAACTATGACGAGTATATTGTTGACTAATTACCCACTGTATAGTTAGGATATAAAAGGAGAAAAAGTCAACAGTGACAAGACTTTCCTTCCAACCTATATAAGTGCCGACAATATACTTGTATATCGCGTCATACTTGAGTAGTGGCAAATATTTTGAGATCTGAATAAAAAGTGACAGAATTTCTCCGCCAATCTAATTACAATTTAAGTTACGCTCCCGCGTTCATCTGTGATAATTTCGCCTTTCTCCACGTCCCTCTCTACCTGTCCCTTTAGGTAATGCCAGGACTGTAATGTACTTTTACGCAGCATTCTCGAAAATTCCGTACAAAGCCTATAAGCACGCCTCCCTCGCTGACGTTGAATTACGTATCCGTTACCACTGACGACACAGCTCTGACCAAACTTCCGACTATAACTGAGGCAATCCTATGCGCGGTTTGTATCGCTCTCATCTCCATTACGAATGTGAAAGTGAGCGTATGATAATGGCGGACTGACCATCAGCGGCGAAATGCCCTTTCACCTTACACGCACAAACGTTCGGTCTCCGGCTGAGAGTCTCTATTATAAAAGATCAACTTCGGCCAGAGTTTCATAGTGTTTTCTTTCGTTTATTCTGTTTTATTACCATCTCTCTTGCAATTAGTACTGAGTCCCACAAGCACCTATTTCTGAACCGCAGTGCATGCCAGCTTCAATACCATAGAGTCCCAAAGTCTGTACATCCAAGATCATCGAGAAGCCTCCATTTTCCTCTATTGTCCACTGTTACAAAATAGGGTCAGGAAAGATTTCTTTATTTTCTTTCTTGCTTCCTTCAGTTACAGAATTTTCAGATTCTGGTCACGTATCCCACTCCCACATGGTACGAACAGCTTTCATCCAGTCTGCCCTTTCTGCACGACACTTCTCGCTACCGAGAAGCCATACGTGCGACTCATCTTCCAAGATCATTTGTTCGACAACTGAAAAGATTGTGGGCTTATATCTTCTGCTTAATATCTGTGATTATCACTCTTTCGTGTTTATTTTGTCCATTTCATATCATAATGATGTAACCATGGAGATATGATCGATATCTGTGGTGTTAGTTCTTTTCTATTGAATTGCTATAACAATAATAGTGGCTGATCTCTCTAGCACACAATAGCGCTTTGCCGTTTCGATTTGCTGGGATAGGCTGGGATGGCTGCAATCGTTGTTTTAAACTTTGCTTTTCTGGAGCCATAATGTGCCGTTCCCGGTTGGTCAACTTGATCCTTGAATTCTCTAGTTACGGTTTGCTTTGAGCTGGGTTCATGTGGGTTAGTGACCAAAGTTAAAAAGTGTGTGTGCTGTATGATTTGGTTCAGGTTTTCATCGTTCCTGGCTGTGGATACTTGTATATAGGAATGGTGGTGTAAATGTTCGTTGTTTCATCTTACTATGTGCATATTATCGCCTATTCACCACGATCACTGTGTTAAGAGATTCCCATTTTCTGCTACATAATTCGTGCATTGTGTGCAAATAGTCATCATCATGTACTTTCATCTTTACAGTATTCATCGATTAAGATTTCTTTCTACTGCATGTGAAATAAATCCGTTTTGCTCTGTCATCTTTCACCTGTGATTATTGGCTACGAAATGTATGGCTCAGCTTCACCAGGTTACCCTCAAAGACGTATACCTGCGACTGCATACTGTCGGTAGTGGCGTCCAGTTTCGAACCCACAGGGGGCCCAAAAAAGTCACTTTTCTTCCTTGACTTCCAAGGTGCTATAAGTTACACTTAAAGGCAGTTGGCACGATAAATCCCCCAAGACGACTAGGATCAATACTGGCAGGATAGAATTCCGCGACCCTGGGCAGGCGCTGCGTTTCCCCGAGGAAGGTGCCCTTATAAGGGCCCTATCAAGCCACAACTTACGTCCCAAACGCCCGCCCGCCCACAAATGGACGACCGTTCCTGACGCTCGTATTCATTCATTTGCTAAGCAAATTATGAAGCGAAGGGATTGGTATGAAGCGGCCGTGATGCTGCATGCATATGGGTACACATATGCAGCCGTATCTTCGGTAGCGGTGATTGGCAAGATGCCTACGGGAAACTCGTCCGAAATCGATTTACAAGTCACTGAGAACGGAGGCTTTTTCTTCGCAGGATTTTGACCGTTTCACTCCGTTCTTTCGCCATTTCCCCACTATACAGCGCCCTACTAGCATTTTAGGCTAAGTAGGAAACCATCGTGCCAACTGCCTTTAATTGAACTCGGACATTTCCACCACCATATTCAACAGCATTGTATACTATCATGATACTCCGCCACAGCCTTCTGGAGGAGCGCCATCGAGAGATTCTGCCACGCGACGTGATTCGGTGCCTGAGTTCAGCGAGATCGTTGATTTCTCCGCCACTGTAGACCACCCTGTTGAGCTCCGCCCGAACCGGGTAATTGAGGGGGTTTAGGTCAGGTGACACACTTGGATATTCCGTCTTCTTCAGGTACTCAACGCCCTTCCATTCCAAGTAGGCGAGAGTTTTTCCAACGCCCTTCCATGTGGAGGCACCCAATCCTGTAGCAGTACGAAGTTTCCAAGAAGGTACAGGCGATGACATGAAGGCAGGATATTCTCCACGAGTTGGTCGATGTAACCGTCAGCGTTCAC